TTATATATTGTAACGAAATATGCATTGTTTCTTTTAAAATTGGGGATAATTGGGGGATTTTGAGAGAAAGATCATGAGATGAATCAGAAAGTTCTAAATTCTAATTTATGATTTATATATTTGTTATCAATTTTTTATGAAAATCAAGGTCCGTAAATGGTATATAGTTTATATACACCACGTTATATCACTAATGTAACTTGTTGGGCGTAAATTCGCTTGTTGGGTTTTCCCTAATAATATTATGGTTGGGAGCCTATAGACCACATGTTTACGCAATCGCCCATCACTTCACGTTTAAAAATATACCCACATTATAAGTATGATACGATGTATTACAACATTTACAGTACCGTATATTGGAGAACATGATTTGGTGTTTTGTTGTCTTAAAACCAGATGAGCACTCCAGTCGCTTCGATACCCTAGTACTTTACTCATAAGTGCTTTTACGTCAAAGAATGGATGTATCTTATACATTTCAACAACTGCCTTTTTCAACCAAATTGATGATAACGAAAAGTTAACAGGATTTGGTTGGATCACTATGTAGTAATCCGTTGATGACTTTACCTGGTTATTTAGCCCCAAATAGAGCACATCGGACTGAATTTTCAAGGTTATTTATTTCTATATGCAAATATGTAGCGGTTTCAAATCAAATCTTATTGTTAGCATTAGCGATCATTCAGTAGGCTAAACAAATACAATAAAAGCTAAGTTCAGTCCAATTAGGTCTCTGATAAAGCCACCAATGACGTCATTGGGGGAAATCTGTTCCCCACAATTTCAATCAATGATAGTAAATTTCATCGATGAAGACGCTGTGATCTAGTATCAGGTATCCGGATGCTGGAGACAATTTCACATTGCTGTGAATTGCTGAAATTCTATTTGATTTTCGAAAAAAGTATATTTCAAAATAAAATATCCATGCATAATTCCGAACAGTGATTACTCTGTTGATTACTTTACTAATGTCACCAATTGTTACGTCAAAAGTACGTGCAGACGGACGAAAACCGCGATTTCGTATTACGATACTTTCGCGTTTACAGCAAGACAATTATTCACATGCAATAATTCATCCCCTTGTGCAGCACAGCAGGGGATCTCATTACCGTTAAATTCGATAGCATTTCGTCGATTGTCATAACCTGATATCGATTTCATGGTATAATATGTCTATATTATCACGTTGCTGATTGAAGGTTGTATAGTATGACAATCGATACACATAATTGTAGCTTTTTGTTGAATTTTATCAACAGATGTCTGATTTAAATCTATAGGCCGTTGGTAGAGATGTCTGTCCAGTTAGTAATTGGATGCACCCTGCAACCAGTAAAGTGTGTCGTTAAAAATTATGTTCGATCATAACCATCGGTTTGGTATGGTCCATACTATGGGCAAAATTGTGAGTCGTTACCTCGTGCATTAATTACTGCTTTCCATATATTATACATCAGAACGACAAATTCAAATTCAATGTTGAACATTGATCAAAAAAGGAAGTCATTTTTCTATTCTGGGTTGTCCCACATTCTTTTTTTGCGTTTTTGTATTTTTTGTAAGTAATTCCCGGATAAATTATAATATTGAAATTTCCATTCCCCAAGCAATGACCGTCATCAAACAGACAATAACAGGGCGTGCATTTTAAAAACAATTGATATATTCCGTTATGTCATTTCTGGAGCTATTCCCTATTAAATTAGCCTGATGTTCTTGGTAGTTGTCATGTGCATTCGGTAAAACAATGACCTTGGTATTTTTCTATTGTTACGTTAAATAATGCAACCAGAACATGTTCGTGGCTATTTTTGTGATATAACATTACTACTATACATAAGAGCGTTATTTTGTGGGACTTTCATTTTCTTCCAATACAGATTGAATTGAAGTTAAGGTTTAAATAAACGGTCAAGTAACAATGGGTGCAGTATATATAGCACATACGGGGAAACACATTCACTGGTTTTGTATGGAAGTTTGAGATTCCCATTTTTTACTCATTTCCGATAGAGAATCCGGAATTATTTTCTGTATATTCCTTATGGCCATACTTGCAATTTTAAGTATTTCTCATGATATCATCAATTGATTTAGTATTTTTTTTTCCATTTTAATAAATTCCTTCTATCGCGTAACAAAAATCATACGTAAGTAAGAGTGTATTTTGTCGTGTATTTATCGCATTTATCTCATGCACTACTATCACGTACGTAACGAATTGTTGGATTACATTAATTAAAATATTTTACGCATAAATACTAGTAAAGACAATTACGCTTTGTTGATCAAATTAGCCTTACATCATTGATGACGTCATTAATACGCCCCCGTTTGGAGCGACTCACTCGTGTATGCCCCACTTTCATGGTTATAATTTAATATAATATACTAGTACTAGTATGTGTCATCTTATTGACTTAACCTGACGTTTTGCGTCGGTTTTCCATCGTGTGCGTAAACCTCGAGTATGTGACGTCCCCAGACCTACCTGGCCTTCAATGACCCCATATTTCTTCTATCACATGGCGTGATATTAGCGTACCAGTATTTAGCGATAGCGTATCTGGATTTTTGCCATGTGGTATGCGTCCCATGCCTTTGGATCAGCGTACCCCGCTGACCCAGTGGGCGTGTTTAAGGCGTTTTCGCGCTGCAGTCCTGAGATATTGTATGAAAAAAGTGAGATATCTATATACCATGCCCATTTTTAGTGTATCGCATCTCAACAGTACCTTGATGGTTTTAGTAGGAATTCGATGAAAATTATAAAAGAATGAACGAAGTCCAGTTACACCTATGAATAAGCGGTAGAGACACGTTTTCGTAGTGACGTCAAACGGATTCTGTTACTGGACACGGCGTGCCTGACGTCAAAACCAATTAGATTCAGCCGTGATCAATAAATTCGATGATTTAAGAACGAATGTCCAAGAGTATGAATATGCCATTTAAACTTATACCAATCATTTTGGAGAATATAGACGAGTCTCAAACTAAAATTGACATATCAAAAATGTATAATGGTCGCAAGATCAGTGCGATATATATCTGAAATATTTTGAACATTGTGAAGTCTTTATAATTAAACTATTCGAATTTTGTCTTCCCTATACAAATGAAATGTAACATAATGCGATTCGAAAAGTCGGGTTGAAGCGTCGCAGCAATGCAATTTTCGATTGGGCGCCCGCTCTGCTCTTTTTGTCTTTTTCTCTCGTTTTTGTTCTCGCTCGTCTGCTCTGTTTCTTTCTTGCTCCCAGCGAGCGACGCAATGACGTCAATGGAAACAGACCTTTCCGGGTATATTATTACTCACTGACAGGCCGCGGATGCTCAGTCTACCAGTGAGGCTTGGGAGGTAGGGTGTTACGCGCCAGAAAGAATTATATATTTTGTAGTAGTAGATTTTCAGTAGGTTTTAGAAAATTAATATTGTGCTATTTGCACTTGAATTATGTTAAGCTAGTATAGTGTGAATGGGTTTGTTCAAACGATAAATGTCTTTATTTTGTTCCATAGAATAGACCCTTTAAAATTAGTTATTACGAACCACGTCATGCAATTTTGCGACATGGTTATCAAATATTTCGCAAATCTTAAGCGCCCGGATTCCGACGATCGTTATCTTACTACCGAGGAGTGGAATTTAATATCAAGGGCGAGATCCCAGAAGGAGGCCCAGGCCGCCGTGGCGGTACTGAAACCGAAACGGTTCAAATCGTCTCATTCAAAGTCTTCTAAAAAGGCAAAAGTTGCCATGTCTGTTTGTACGGCAAACCGAAGATATAGCGAACAATTTATGCTACCGAATAATATGAAAAGGAGAGTGTCACAGGCTAGATCTATTAACAAGCCACCGTCGACCAGGAGGTCTTCTTTGCCGGTGGCTGCTACTGACGACGTCAACAATAACAACTATGCTGCTGTTATCCGCCCCCATTCCCACCCGGACATAAATCAAACGGCAGAGTATCATGCTCATAGGATATGTTCCCATGTTGCCAGCCTGGCTTCATCCCTCGAGAAAGATACATATTTTGCCGCAGAAGGTGTGTCGGCGTCATGGAACGCCGCCACCCGGTCGTTCACCGTGCAACTTCATAAAGATTTCCCTGCGGACGGCAGGACTACAAACGGTGACTTGTTTCAAGGCGACAGGCCCTGCTTAAACGGATGTATAAAGCACTGTTACTGTTATGAGCCAGCTTGTGCTCGGTCGATCACCAGTACGTATTTTGCATATTTGTCAATTGTTATGTACAAATTGGATTCTGAATGTGTGCAATTTGCCTCCGAATCGATATTTTGATTGTTAACCTCTCATAGGGGGGATTATTTCAGTGAAATTAATGACCAGACGCATCTGTTCCTTCGTTGACTTGTCGATTTTTGCCAACGCATTTGCGTCTGGCGGCTCCCATATCTTAATATCAGCATCACTAAATCTGACATTAGGATTTATAAAAAAAAAAAATTATGTGGTGTTTATTACTGTACCTTACTTGATCAGTATAATCATCATTTTTTTAGATAATTTATCACACGGATAGACATGAATAAATAAATAAACACATGCACACACACTAAGCGCGCGGCGTGACGAAATATCAGTATATCTCATTATATTATTCCCTCTTCATATTGAAGAATAAATTCGCCCCGGGGGTTCCAGAGGACGACAAAAAAATCAGGCCGTCACGTTTAGGCCGTAACGCGTAATATTCTTCGGATGAATTTTATCTTATAATACTAGAAATAGGAAAATGCCAATTTTCGTGTCTTCACGCATGTACTTGGTTGACTTAGAAACAACCGGTTTATTTAGCACATTTCAATTTATTTTATAATTTCCAATTGATTTTGCATTAAAGTAGAATATTTGAATATGTATCGACCTGGAAATGAAGCGTGTATATCCGGTACTTTCCGGTTGATATCATATATTTAAAAAAAAATTCTGACCTGTAAAAATTTTTCTTCTGTAGATCACCAAGATGACATGATGACAACTGACCCAGAAGAGGAACCAAGACCAGCGTCTCCGAATTACGCAGCAATTAAGCAAAATCACAAACCCAGCACAAAATATCAACTCAACCCCAATTGCAAAGTTATGGGAATGGTCTCAGGTACATTACAGCATTTATTATTGTGTTTTGTTACAACTGGATTCAAAACTGTCGTAATATGCCGATTTCGTGCGTTCGAAAAATTCAACTTTTTAAATTTTTGACTTTTTGATTTTGAATTTTTGTAGCACTCTTATATGTTGACTTGTTTTGGTCTGACGATATAAATTTCAGGAATTCTTTTGAAAAGATTGTATAAAAAATAATAAAATATTCTTAAAGAACTACGGTTACTTGTAGATGGCAATTAAAATGAATTAAATAAAAAGGAGAAAATGATTTTTCTTTGTTCAAATGAAGAATTTTGACCTAACTGAGATAAACAATCTTATTTTTTATTGTTCTGCTATAAAACTTGCGTTTATTACTTAGAAAGATCATTTAGTTTTCCTAGTGCAAAACAGTATCAAAATATTTTCCCGAATTTGTATTAACTTATTATAAATGTGGCCGTCAAACGTATTATTTGCCTTATAGTACCAGATGTGTCTCTACAGGATGCTAATGCTTGTAATACTATTAGTTGACTCAAATCCAGACACCTTACTTTACAAATAAATTTTTCATATTATCCAACAAACATCTGTCACTTCCAGTAGTTCTATTCATATGTATGTGCTGTGTATGTACCTTGATAATATTTCTTTACGTGGGTAACTTTTGCATCTCTGTCCGTAATTTACGAATTCTCACCTCGTTGGCCAACCTAGATTTTTAATCTATTTATTTATTATTTTTATTTGACAGGTATAAACAAAAAAGCAAACAAACATCGTGAAAATATTCTCAAGTTCAAAACAATACCGACATTTGGTGTTGTCGTCAACAACGAAAGCGCGCTCGCAAAGGTATGCATGTTTTGTGACAGTCATAAAACCTCTTTATAGACTTTGCGGCTCTATTGCGACCTTAGTGGTCGGGTTTAATATCTCATTTTTGTTTGACGTCATAAGTTAGATTTCATTTCGTCCCAAGGTCGTTGGATGAAAGCTGACTTCTTAATCATATTGTATTAGACATTCTTACCAGTTGAATCAATTCTGCGAAAGATCGATCCACAACAACTTCTCGCTGAGTGCAACTTTTAATACTCGCCATTGGTCGGTGACGCCTTATTCGGTTATGCGTTGTCTAACGTTATTTTGTTTTTGCTGTTTTATTCAATCTCAAAAATGTGAAATAATAACTTTATTTGCTTTTTTTATTGCTGTGCGGTCAATCGGACTCCGACGCCCTTTTATTATCGCATTATCGGCTGTGTTTATTTGAATTAGACGAAACGTGTTCTAGTTATCGTATATCAACGAAATCCGTGTCATCGCTGCAGAAATTTCTTTTTAAGAGTCATAGAATTTTTCTCCGTGAAAAACATATATCTTGTACATATTTGCCAGTAATAATTTTTGTAAATTTATTAAACTATTCAAAATGGTCTAAATCTAAACCCTGTATATACCTCCAACTATTACGTGATTATTTATTAATTAGAGTATTGCTCGTCTAACACGACTTTAAAATGGTATGTTGCTCATATGATTATGTGTATGAGTAAAATAAAAATAAAACTGTTAATTTGAATATAAAAATAATAGATTTTATATTACCCCTAAACGATTTATCGATTTTTATGACGACGATAAAAATATTTCGTATCGATGAACGCAAAACATGTTTTCCTATTGGTCTCGTCGCCGTCGACGTAAGCCACTCATGTATTGGTTATTAACAATTGCTTATGATTTAGTTCAGCGGAAAGCCTTACGTGACCTATACATATGAGATATAATCTACAAGTCAACTCATTACCGAGCATTTTCAGAGTATCGCTCACAACCCGTCATAGAAAATAAATCACAAAACAGTTGGTATTTTCATGTAATCACGATTATGTGGATGATTAGAATTTGCAGTAACTGCGTTTTTCGATACATAAACCACACATTGTAAATTTAAAATGCTCCTAATAAGTGTTTATTTATCAAATTACCGGTAAAACGGATTTCAAAGAACAAGTATTGAGTATAGCTTCGTGTTTGTGCGTGTCGGAAGAATTAACCAGATAAATTAGCAAAAAACGCGCTAATGACAATTTTTCGTGAGGCATCGAAACCGCGCCCGCGCGTTCTTTTTCGCCTTTTTGTTTTTTCGTTGTTGTGAATTTTACGGCAACGGCATGTTTCCCGATTTCTTAGAATACTCGATCGAATTGATAACCAAATTTACTCAATTTCTCATATTTTTAGGAACTCGATGGTGTGGACGTTTGGGGTGGCATCAACCTTTTTAAAGTTTCTGAAATGACAAACGGACGACCTCTATCTGCTACTTTATACAATATTTTGCAGGTAATGTCCCGAATTATGTTTTTTTTTTAAATATTATTGCTTAACGGAGTTACATAGCTTATGTGCTTTGAAATACATATTATTAATTTATATTTATTTTGTTTTTTTGTATTCTAAAAATTTTATTTTTTTTAACAGAAACGCGACATGTTGAACAAATATAAAATTTCTCCGCAAAAATGTTTAGCCTACGTAATGACACTCGAAGACCATTATCGTAAAGTTCCATTCCACAACAATATTCACGCTGCCGACGTTTTGCAGTCTGTGCACGTTCTATTGTCGTCTGCTGCCCTCGACGTGAGTTTGATTTAATTTTTGATCATTATTTTCTGATTTAATTTCGTTATGATTCATTGTTATGCGGTTAACGTACAAATATTATCGGCGTCTACCATTATCAGTATTACTGTATGACATCACAATTGATTATAATAGTATAGCATCGTCTGACAGAACTTTTTTGATAACGATGTTTTTATTTTTCGCCATTTTAGAGCGTCTTTACTGAAATCGAAATCCTGGCGGCACTGTTTGCAGGCGCTATGCATGACGTTGACCATCCCGGTCTCAATAATCAATTTCATTGTGCTACAAGTAAGTTGTGCTTCTAATTTTTTTTATATACAATAGGTGAAATTTCCAGTTCCATCTTCTAAACTATGACCTTTCTTTCACCAGGAAGCGAACTGGCAATCATGTATAACGACGAATCGGTTTTGGAAAATCATCATTTGGCTGTTGGTTTCAAACTCATGCAGCAAAAAGATTGCGACTTATTCGAAAACTTGACTAGAAAACAATGGCAGAGTTTTAGAAAGACTGTTATTGACATGGTAAGTTTAACCGTAGCCTCGTTTAAGACTAATTTCACCATCAGATTTGATGGTACCTCAACATTAGTTTCGTATTAAAATTGAAACTAGTATAAGTTCACCGTTCAGACAAACGTAACCTCAAATTTTGAAAATTATTGAAATTGCCCCTACTTGAAGATTCGAATAGTTACCGGAGATCAATAGCGTCGACAAAAAAACAAAATTGTTTATGGAGACTGTATTCGATTAAGTTACCACAAGAACTCGTCACTCACTATCATTTGTTCTGACTAAGCGAACTCTAACTGAAAAATAAATTATAAAATAAAAATAAGTCCTAATTATGCACATCCCATGTATGGCGTATGATTTATGAGGTAGTTAGCCAAGTCCTCGCGGTACCAAGCAACGACGGAACTCTGCTCCAACCCCCGGTATGCAATTACGTCGTCTTGTGTATTGTGACGTAATATAATAGTTTCGATGTCTTCCAATAAATATGACGTCATTATCATTTTAAGTGATGAGGAAGACGATCCTTGTAAACAAATTCTGATAACTTGCTATGAGTATAATTCAATAACACCATTATCGTTGGCGTGATTTAGCTGTTTACTACTCACTATATTACGTCTTTTCTACGTAATACCTTTATGCTAATCTGTTTATTATCATTTGTTATCCAGGTACTCGCAACCGACATGTCAAAACACATGCAACTATTGGCTAATTTGAAGACAATGGTGGAAACGAAGAAAGTAGCTACATCCGGTGTACTCATGCTTGATAACTACACCGACCGAATCCAAGTATTGCAAAATATGATTCATTGCGCCGATTTGAGCAATCCTACCAAACCACTAGAACTATACAGAGGATGGACAGACCGAGTTATGAACGAATATTGGCTTCAAGGAGACGTGGAAAGAGATCGTGGACTCGAAATCAGTCCCATGTGTGACAGACACACTGCTTCCGTGGAGCGCTCTCAGGTAAATATAAAAGATTCAAATACATATTACTTTGGCACCGACTTGGCCGGGATTGATTAATATTTTTTCTTTTCAATTGAATGGAATAAACAATTATCCCTTTTCTTCTTTAGGTCATTTTCATCGACTACATTGCTTACCCACTTTGGGAAACGTGGGCGGATTTGGTTAATCCAAATGCTCAGGAAATTGTCGATCAATTGGTTTCGAACAGAGAATGGTATAGCCAGCAAATGCCTGGAAGGTAAGCTTTTTTAATTTTATTAGAATAAGAATTTTTTTGCTTTAGTCCAACTCGTTGATGAAATATTATGTAAGCGTTCAGATTTCACAGCCTGTAGTGAATGTAATTAAATGGCAATTTTCCTCTTTAGTCCCTCTCCAGTTCCCGAAGACGGCGCTGAAAGTGCGGACATATCTGACGACAGTCACACCGCTGAAGCAAGTCAAGATGAAAGTTCTTGCTGCGATTCTGGGACAACTCAACCTCAGTCCAATAATTCTCCGGCTGCAAAGTTTCAATTTCAACTTTCAATGGACGACGACAAGTCTTCGACAAAATCTGACCAATCACAAAGCAGTGGCAGGATACCTTGTATAACTACAGAAGATGCTGATGGGGACAAATCTGCTGTAAAACGAGAGAGCTCTCCGTGATGAGGCTGCTCTCTTCAAAATGGACGACATTATCTGTCACCTAAATGATCTAAAACAGGCTCTGTTGGAGTCAATGGGTGCCTTGCGAGCTAGGTGCTCAATGCGGAGGCCAGTAGACTCTGAAGTATGAAGGAGCCGAAAGGCAAGTGGACTGTAAACGGTACCATGAAAACTTAGTACTGCGCTCTCAGCATTACGCAAAAACGGAGTGCTTTACAGCACGGTTGCCTTTGAGACGATACAAATTTAAAACATTACCGCAAGACTTCAAGACCGTTTGTCAACTGACATTATTGTTATTAATATTATCATCATTATTTTTACCATCGCAATAGCCTTGACAGAATTTTGTCATCGAATCATGATTGGCCGTGTGTTGATCTAATGTACCACCTAATGTGGTCCGATGATAGACATCCTTCTGGCCATTGAGACAAGTTACTGCTGTCGCACTGTATACTATTATATTATTATACTATACGATTTACTATTATTAGACTAGATAAAAGGAGTGAGACTATTTCGCAATATTCGGCGCCTATTGCGCAACATTTAGCTCCTATTGCGCGTCCCTCTATTTTACTATTTATTGCTTTCTATATTATTGTAATATATTGAAGATTCAGTTATTTTTGTTTTTATTTTTTGATTACAAAAGTAATATTCGATTTGCACGTCATTGCTTTCGATATTTTACAAATCGTGTATCGATTCCCCTACCTGATTTTAGAACGATTAAACAATGGAAATATTTGGGGCCAATAATTGCCGTTTGCAAAACATGGAATCGTGTTATTGTGTTGGGCCGTATGAATGAATGCTACTACTATTTTGAATGTAATATTGCCTGTAATAAACTACGAAATTTTTTTATTGACGATACTGCGAATTTCATTGCCCACTCATTCATGGATAGTGAACAAAATTAGTTTAGCATTACTGTATCACATCATTTGTTTATTATAACACTGTTTTTCTGCTGCTCATTATTGCCGAGTATAACATTAACTTCAATAATTATACGACGAGTAGGGTACGTGCATGTAGTACTTTTTTGCTGTATGTATGTCGATAAATATCCGACTACCTAGGTAATGTTAAATAGGATTTCCACGGTAGTATCCGAAAAATTAAGGATGTGTATTACATTTATCTTAAGATTGGTAAAATGTTAATCAATAGCTCATTTACATTTTGTTTTTTTGTTGTTTTTGAGGACGTGATATTCCTTTTTTATCTTGCGAACCCCACTGTTTAATGATATAGTTGACATATCATTATTGGCCTGTTATTTATTTATAAGCTGTTGCTAATGCTATAAGGTTACGAATTGTATGATAACTATAGAAACTATAGAACAAGTAATTCCATTTCAGGATAACGTCAAATATTGGTTAGCAAAATTGTTTTTTATTAGGTTCCTCCAGTCCCTCTATTTAAGATCTTTTTCTGAAAAAGCAGAGAGGTCTTATGGTTCTATTTCGTTACTATTTGTTCGATCTTTTCTCGTTTTCCCTTTGTCGTTCGTTCTTTTATTTTATTCGTTTGATTTCTTTTATTTTTTGTTATGCAGTTGTTAACATGATCTTCATGGAAGTTGCCTAGTCGAATAGGGAGGTACCTTGTCATTGTGAGCTGATGAACGCATGCAAGAATATATTATACTTGCTTATATTTGATAGCCACAATGACAAATTGTTGTTATTCGACTGGGCATATATTTCAGCATTGGAACTGAATTATAAATTGTGATATACAATGAAATATTTCTGGTGTTTGAAGATTGATTTGGGGGCTATTGAGGTATCAAGATAAGGCAACTTTTCGCTTCGGGACTTACACAAAGCATTTTGGTAGAGTTGTGCCAGACTAGGAATCACTAAATGTAGTTTCACCCGATGGTGGGATTCAGCCGGTTCGCACCGGTTCTATAGAACCATCTCGTGGAATTTTATGAGATCAGCAAACCGGTTAGGAGTACTGGTTACTGTCAATGTTCTGTTTGTAACAGAACCGGCTGACAGAAAATGCTGGCTGACTTAAAAACCCAAATTTGATCTGCGCGGGCTAGTATCAGATAGGCTTACTTTCATGACCGTAGTTTAAAGAACTGAAGTATATCGCCAGAGAATTTATTTCAACTCCGTAATCAGTATTCCGGGTGATAAAATGTGATGTAAAAGATAAAAATTACACTTTGAATTCTTATGATTCCGACATAATAATCCTGATATTAAGATGAATGAATAAGTCGAAATCGCCGAGATTTCGAATCGGGATCCCAACCACAGCGACATGGATGGGTGTTTCGTGTCTTTTGCGAGAAGACATATCGTGCGATTGGTGTGAACCACCAATTCTGCTTCGAATGAAACTTTTAAAACCTGTTACAAGTATTTTCTTGTAGTCTTAACTTAAAATTGACATTAAATTTGAATTATATCTTACCTCCAATTCAATTTACCTAAAGAACCTTTTCCCGACCATCAACTTTCTTATTTATTTCGTGACATTGGCCAATCAGCACGATGCGAAAAGTGACGTAACAAGGCTCCCTTTACGCATCCGCTCAGACACTTTTCTCATTCAGACAGATTTTTAAGCGTGGTCGTAAACATTACTTCGTTTTAGCGTTAGTTTTCTGTTGTGTTTCGGAAACTTAAATATAAATCAGATAATTCAATCAGCACTCTGTCTTCCTAGAAGTTTTAATTTATAGTGGGTATACGAGTGTCCATCAAAAATAAAATGCGCAATAAGTCCTATTTGAAAGGTAACATGTCACAGCAGCATTTATACCAGAGGTATTGCAACAAACTGAAAGGAAAAATAAAGAAAGCTAAACAACTTCATTATCATAATACGCTTAAGCAAAACCGAAACAATATAAAGCAAACATGAAAAACAATCAAAGAAATAGTAAATGTTAAAAATGACAAACAGAATACTATTACAGAAATTATGTTACAAAATAAAACTATAAAGTAATAAACTAATAAAGTTGCTGATAGCAAATGAGTTCAACACCTATTTCACTAACATCGGTCCAAAATTAGCCAGTCAATTTAATGATGTTTCGGATTACAAAAAATACTTCCTTTTGAAGATCTCGCAAACCATATTTCTTCAGCCTGTTTTACTCTCAGAAATAATAGGTGGTATTTCAAGCCTAAAAAAGGGCAAAGCTATTGGTCCTGATAACATTCCATCATGTTTCCTTCAGCATATTGTAAACATAATATCGCCAGTCCATATGATTCCGTTCAATGAATCAATACAGCTGGGTATGTACCCTTCAGTATTCAAAATTGCTCGAGTAACACCAATTTTAAAATCTAGTGATAATAAAATAATATCTAACTACAGACCTATTTATATTCTTTCTTGTTTAAACATACTTTTTGAAAAACTTATATATGAAAGAATGGTAAAATTTATCAACAAACATAATATAATAAATAAATCTCAATTTGGATTTAGGGACAACCATTCAACAAACCATATACTATTTTAGACATGATGTCTTACATCTATGACAAATTAGAAAATAATGAGATTGTTTGTTCTGTTTTCATCGATTTGAAGAAAGCATTCGATACAGTTGACCACAAAATTTTGCTTCATAAACTATCTAATTATGGATTTCTTCCAATCACTTTTAAATAGCTACTTAACGAACTGAGTTCAATTTGTAAAAAATGGCGATGTAGCATCTAAAACTTTACCAATAGTTTGTGGCGTCCCAGAGGGATCATGTTTTGGCCCAATCCTTTTCTTAATATATATTAATGATCCCACCAACTGCTCTTAGTAACGAAACTATTCGCTGACGACATCGGTCTTCTTTCCAGTCATAAATCAATTTTAACTTTAGAGAATATTGTAAACTATGAAATGCTGAAGGTACATGATTAGATGGTTTCAAATAAATTGACAAGTAATATTGAAAAATCAAAATTTATGATAATTACTCCCCAAAAGCAACAGGTAAACCATGACTTATCAATAAAAATTGATAGTACCAAATTAGAAAATGTGTTATACAAATACCTAGGAATTTTTACTGATTCTGGTCTTAAATGGGACAAACATATTGAGCATGTGGTGAAAAAAATAACTAGAGCAGTCGGTATCACCTACAAGCTCAAACAATAAATGCCTACGTCAACCCTGCGCTCTGTGTATTTTTCACTCTTTCAATCTTCTGTTCAGTATGGAATCTCAGCATGGGGAGCTGCTGCACAAGAATATTTAAAACAAATTAATGTTTTACAAAACCGAATTGCTAGATCTCTTTGCAATGCAGCACCTAGAACTAAGATTAATCAGCTATATTCGACACTCAACATTCTGAAATTGAAAAACTTATATAATTTTGAAATTGCAAAACTAATGTATCAACACCAAAATAAATCCCTACCTGAAGCATTCGATAAATATTTTACTAAGCAGTGTAACACCCGCGCACATTACACCCGATCTTCTTCGCGTGGAAATTATATTGCTCCCAAATATTCTACTGCAAGAACACAAAACTCAATCAAATACACAGGTATCAAAATATGGAACAATATTTCACACGAAATAAAATCACATGGCTACACAACTTCCAAGAATACATATAGAAAGTATTTACTCAAAAACTACCGGTAGTCTTTATAAACTGCTTCAAGAATACATATAAAAAATATTTATTCAAAAACTACTGGTAGTCTTTATAAACTGCAGCTTTGCTGACAGTTTCATGGCCTATTGTCGTCTTTGTCATATAAATTATAAACAATAGCGGTTCGCTTCACTGCCGTTCCGTGACATAGCTTCCGAGTCGCCTGATATAGTATTATTTTTCTTACCCTAAACTTTTTGTCTCTATAAATCAGATTCTGAATGCGCGTGCGGTCGCTCAGCAACCTAAACAATTTTCCAGTTCGTTGATGAATGATTGACCGCTGTTAGCTAACCAACTGAAACTATAAGTGGCTGAAGTCGCCTCCGATCTCGATGTATGCGCTTAAGGCCTAACTCGACCTTGGGCCAAATTTTATTTTCTTCCTTAATTATATGTTGCTGGTTGTACATGGAGTATAAGTTGTGCCTTAGAATTCGTTCATGGAGGTTGCTTAATTTTTTTCATCAAATAAAATGATCGCTCGATTTAGTGTTGCATATGACAATAGATAAAAAATTTAATCGCTGCAATTATACGGAAGTACAGCTGAATGATATGGTGAATTATTTTTATAATTACCGTATATCAATTGAATTTCCCCGACTTTTATTTTTACATTCTCTTCCAAATCATATATGCTGATTCATATCAATCTTGTTGGTTAATTATCGAATGAATAGGTTTCTCTTCGTGCTTATTGCTTTCATTTATTTCAAATTTTATTAACTCCTTTTTAATCTTGGTGTCGCAGACTTATGATGACCATCTCTGGTCCTTCGCGACTTTCAGTTAATTGCAATGAAATCCGTTACTGTAATGCATAAGTACTTTTTCCTATTTTGAATTTGTGTTATGATTTCTTGCACGACGAAATAAACTTATTGTCTAATTTAATTGCAGTAATAAAAAAATTAGTGTAGGAATAGCTGTGATAGACTAGGCTAAAATTCTTTACCGGTACTTTTAAAAAACAGATTCTTGTATGGGATGAATCATAATGATGGTTTGAAACACATACCCCATTTTACAGGCGCCAACTTGCAAATGCACTCTCAAAATAGCTCCGAAAATTTTGCAATGGTAAACTGGGTATGTTAGTCGTTGGGTAAACTCAGGGTAAACTATATAGGCCGCGAGCCGAGACCCTGAAAAACGCCTAGAAAGTGAATTCCGTAGCGCACATCAGGTAACTACCTGAAAATGATTTTAAAATGTTCCTTAAAAATTTAGTAACAAATATTGCCTTGTTCCCACTTCCAAAAGTTGCACGTTTTACGGAAAAGACGCTTTTACTACAAGAAATATGTGCTACGATCTGTCCTATATTCTATGCATTTTCGGCAATGAACAATGGCTTCTGCATGACGTAACAATTGAATCGTATCAGCTGTTAGCGAGCGGATGAATCTTAGTTATTACTGCTCGATCTTGCGTTGAGTTGGGCAGCCTTTCCATAGCCCTGTTTAGTTATTATTAGTTAAGTTATGCTAAGACGTTGTTAAAAAGTATAAGTAAGTTATTAAACACTTGTAGATCCTTGCCACGGATAAGGGCCGTGAGACGAAGCCTTGAAAACGCCCAGAAAATGAGTTTCGTAGCGCACATCTGGTAACTAAATAAATTCTTCAGTTTTGTGTGAAAATGAACATACTGAACTCATTACAGCTTGTTCTACAATCCTGATGCGAAATTGAATATAAGAGGTTCCCGGAAATTCAATAACCATAAGTTTACAACACATACATAAGAATTATGCAATTCGAGAGCCCTACAGCACACTAACACAAATGTATTCCTGTAATGTTTTGCCTGACCAAAATCGGACTTTCTCAGTCAATCATAATTTATTAGGTAGATTACGAAAAATATGGCATACATGTAACCTACAACAAAAAATACTTTAATTGTGTGACAGGAGTCGCGGGTGACCTCGAAAGCAGCGACACCAACAACGCTGATTCACATTAGCGAATAAATTTTATGTAATAACCACAAGTAGCTTACAACAAGAACAGCATAAAAAGCTACATCCATTTTATAGAAGCTATCAAACGTATTTATTTTTAAGCAATGAAGTCACAAATTAACATCGTGAGCACGAAAACA